GCATGGAGTTTCCTCAAAAAATTAAAAATGGAACTGCCTTATGACCCAGTGATCCCACTTCTAGGAATATATCTTAAGAACCCAAAACACCAATCAGAAAGGACATATGCACCGCTATGTTCATAGCAGCACAATTTACAATAGCTAAGTCTTGGAAACAGTGCCCATCAGCAGATGAATGAATGAATAAAAAAACTGTGGTACATTTACACAATGGAATACTGTGCAGCAATAAAAAAGAAAGAACTCTTACCATTTGCAACAGCATGGAGGGACCTGGAGAGCATTATGCTGAGTGAAATAAGCCAGTCACAGAAAGGTAACTATCACATGATCTCATTCATATGTGGAATCTAATGAACCAGACAAACTGATGAACAAAAATAGACCCAGAAACATAGAAACATGAACAGACTGTTGAGCCTCGGAGTTAAGGCCAGGGAGGGTGAGTGGGAAGAGATCAACCAATGAACTTGTATGCATATATGCATAACCTATGGACACAGACAATGGAGTGGTGAGGATCTCGGAGGTAGGGGGACAGGAGTGGGCTGGAAGAGGTCAATGGAAGAGGACATATGTAATACATTCAACAATAAAGATTAAAAAAAAGAATAAAATGTAGAAGTGGCCTTATGAATTAGGAAGGAAAGGATGAATTTTTTTTTAAAGGCATTAGGAAAAATAACTATCTTTATGGAGTTTTTACAAGAGAATTTGTGAGAATGTAATCATGACTTTAGGTCATTAAAGAGGTTATTAAATAAACAAAACAAAGTATGGATAGACTAAATTTTACTGTACTTAAATTAAAAATTTCTGTATAATAAATGACAGCATAAACAAAGTAGATACCTGGATGTTCTAATTTCTCAGATTTTTATGTAAAATTTAAAAATTCTCATCCCAAACTAAAAAGCTATAAAATACCTAGAAATAAGCTTAATATAAAATGTGCAAGATCTTTATGAAAAAGTTATTAAAATGTTATCCAAGAGCATAAAATATTTTAATAAAGAGACCTATCATGATACTAATGGGAAAAATTATATTAATTATAAATAAATCTATTCTCCACAATTTTAGTGGAACGTAATAAATTGATTCTAAAATTCACGCAGAACAGAATATGTACAAGAATAAGACAATGGAAGAGGAGGGGAAGGAAGGGAGAACTTGCCTATAGACAATAAGACGCATATGAAGTCAAATGTCAGTGAAGAGCATGGTTGGTAGGATAGGCATCTAGATCTACTGTCCAGAAACAGGCAACTTATCATATGATAAACTTGGCATTTCAAATAAATGAAGAAAGAAATGGACTAGTTAATACTAGTTGGGACAATTGCCGTTTCAGTTTTGCTTGGAGGGGGGAGGAACCCTTAAAGATAAATAACCAATAGTAAAACTAGGTAAGTACGACATAAACAGGCAATACAATAGAGGATCTATAAATGACAAGAAAATATGAAATGTTTACTAGTTTCTAAAGTAATCAGGAAAATTCAAGTTAAAGCAAAATTATTTCCAACCACAATATTGGTCAAAAAAAAAAAAAAAAGACAATAGTATCTACTGTTGTCAAGGGTGTAGAATATGGTCCTTTGAATAGAAGAAAACAATTTTATTATGCTATATAATAAAAGCCTAATATGCTAAGTGTCTGGACGTCCGTTCAACCAAAGTATAATATGCTAATGCCTCCCGCCTCCCTCCCCAGTCCTGATTGTATACCAGTGGGGTCCCTCGGCCTGACCTGCACACTCTTGCAATCTGGGAACCCTCAGGGGAGGCACATTGACTGTCAGGTAGTTCCATCTATATAATAAAAGCCTAAGTGACCGTTATGGCAGAATGACCAGTCACTATGATGTGCACTATTAGGGGGCAGACGCTCAATGCAGGAACTGCCCCCTCGTGGTCAGTGCACTTCCATAGGGGGAGTGCTGCTCAGCCAGAAGCCAGGCTCACGGCTGGCAAGCATAGTGGTGGTGGCAGGAGCCTCTTTCACCTTCGCAGCAACGTTAAGGAGCAGCGAGCAGAGCAGTAAGGAGCGAGCAGGTGGGCAGTAAGGAAGGGTGCCGGCCGGGCTGAGGGACACCCTCCCACCCCCACCATCCAGTCCACAAATTTTGTCCCCCACCCCCACCCCAGTGCATGAATTTTGTGCACTGGGCCTCTAGTCTCCATTAAAATTAAAAATATACATGATTTTTAATCCAGCAATTCTATGAAGGTAGAGGTGTCATTATAGGAATGAAAAGACATCTTGCATATAATGTTAAAGAAAAAGTTAATTGCAAAATAAGAATATAATCCCACTTTGTAAATCACATGCATTGAAAAAAACAAAACTAGCCGCTGTAATAAAGAGACTCCAAAGGACAGTGGTTTAAGCAAGTCAGAAATTAATTTCGCTCTAAGTTACAGGTGAAAGGAATTTTCCCATCCTTAACACGTGACTTCTGCCCATCCCATGCCACTGTTTAAGCTTGCACTGGCATCTCAGCCAGCAAGGAAGGGGCATGGCAGAATTGTACACCCAACTCTTTAGTTAAGGACCTGATCTGGAAGGGCTACTCACATCCATTGCCTGGTCATGTGGCCACAATTACTATAAGAGGCTTAGAAACAGCCTTTAGCTGGGCAGCATCTGTCAAGATACAACTTTATCAGTAAAGGAAGGAGAACATGGGAATCATAGCAGCAGTCTCTGCCACATGTATTTGTAAATAGGCTGGATGAATACACACCAAATACAGTGCTTATTCTCGGAACAGGAGCAAGAGTGGTGGGGAGGTGGAGTATTTCTGAAATTTTATAAACAGTATTAGCATATTTATATATCAACTAAGGAATTTTTAAAATTCACATTTTAAAATCTTTTACTTGGGGCTTGAAACTATTGTTAAACACACTAAATCTATCAACACTGTAGAAAGCATTTAAAGTTCCAAAAATTAGATTTTAATCTAAATGAGAAAGTTACTCTGTATTGTTGAAACCATTTTACTTAGAGCATCTTTCTCCGAGCTGCTCACCCAGGAAGCGTGATGGCATTGTCTGTAGACGGTCACACTGAGGCACAATCAGGGCGGCGACCCAGCCGAGGTCACAGCTTGTCGTGTGGGCCACAGTGCCTTCTCTGCATCATGACTTTGCTAGTTTCCTACTTGTTGAGAGGCTGCCACTCCTCCAGCCCCGGACAGTGTAGATTTCAGACAGTGCATGATGCCCACACACTTCCCACTCACTAACTGCATCCAGACTTCAATCTCTGAACAAGGGGACACAGCTCTCTTATAGGCTAATGATTACAACAATGAAAATACCAGCGGACTTCTCAGAAACAAAACAGTCATGAGCTGAACTGACTCCCTTCTGAGCCAAGTACTCAAGTTCAGGATTTCCTCATCTGTTTAAAAATCCCTTCCATGACTTCTAGATAATGATGGCGAATGAGGGACATATAGAACATTTCTCCTCTGATATATAATGGATCACGCTATAAATATGAAAAAAAAATGAACAAGCCAGAATCCCCCCAGAACAGCAGAAAACCCTTGTGGTAATCGTGACTCGACATCTCCTGCCAGAGGGGAGGGTCCCGGCCCCGCCTCCTGACCAGAATCTCAGAGTAACTGATAACACACGCCCTCCCCAGAGCTGCCTGCTGTCCCGCAGAGTTGCCCGCACCCCATGCCCAAGCCCCTCTGGGGGGCAGGGAGGAACTTACAGACCTGGACACAACTGCTCTTTCAGCAGGTGTAGAAGTAAAAGCAATGGAACAGGAGGAAGGCCAGCATAATACAGGAAATGAGAGGACCAACAGCAAGCTGGAAAAACAAACCCAAGAAACAAACATGTGGCACTGAATAGTCTAGAGCAGTGATGGCGAACCTTTTGAGCTCGGCGTGTCAGCATTTTGAAAAACCCTAACTTAACTCTGGTGCCGTGTCACATATAGAAATTTTTTGATATTTGCAACCATAGTAAAACAAAGACTTATATTTTTGATATTTATCCTACATATTTAAATGCCACTTAACAAAGAAAAATCAACCAAAAAAATGAGTTCGCGTGTCACCTCTGACACGTGTGTCATAGGTTCGCCATCACTGCTCTAGAACAAAAAAAATCAAGGAATACAATGACTTTAAGAAAAGACTTCAGGCCATGGCCGTTGTTGCTCAGTGGTTAAAGTGCCGGCCCATGCACTGAAGGGCCCGGTAGGGGTACGTGCAGGAGGCAACCATTAGATGTTTCTCTCTTCCCCCTCCCTCCCTCCCTTCCACTCTCTCTAAAAAACAAACGACTTCAGAGCTGAGATCTTAAACATAATAATGAGAAGGAAACAAGGAAAAACAGACTAAGAAAACAAACTGAGGTTCAAAACAGCACCATCACAGAACTACAAACACATAAATACCAGCCAGAAAGAGCATCTGAAAACCAACTCTTAAACAGGAGAGTCATCAGGAAGGCACAGGAAGCGATGGAAACAGGACAGACGACAACACCTAAGGAGAGCAGTGCTGCCTGACAGCCACCAGCACCACTAGGAGAGTGACAGACCTCTGAAAGGAATCGGTGAGGTCGCCTCCCATCGCGGGCGCAGCGGGCTGGGTTGCGGGCAGATCTGGTTGGGCTCTGGAGCGATGTTTGTGAGCATGGGTGTGTTGGCAGTGTTATCTGCACTTTTGGTTCTGCTTGTTTTGTTTTTGTTTCTGAGGATAACATTTCATTTTCCTAAAACCAACAGTCATCATAGGGACTTTGCTTGTTATAAAACTGAGTACACTACAACTTTCTAAAACACGTCTTATTTATCCCAGGCTACCTCATGCTTTACTAACAAAACTAACTGCCAATTCAACAGCACCTTAAAAGAAAGATTATTTATAGGCAATTAAGATGGTTCAAAAGATAAATCTGATCTCTCTTGGGGTGGCAAATGATAAATTTAAACATTGTAAAAATTTAAGCAACGAAAACAACACTGTTGTCAGATATTGCTGAATTAATTTATTGAACAGGTCTCACTGAATAAAAGACATGTTTTAGTGCAATAAAAAGAATTGTTGCAATTCCGGGTCCGCAGACTTCTCAATGAGCAGTAGCGTCTCCGGGACTTAAGTCCACAGACTTCTCAATGAGCAGTAGCGTCTCCAGGACTGAAGTCCACAGACTTCTCAATGAGCAGTAGCGTCTCCGGGACTGAAGTCCACAGACTTCTCAATGAGCAGTAGTGTCTCCGGGACTGAAGTCCACAGACTTCTCAATGAGCAGTAGCGTCTCCGGGACTGAAGTCCACAGACTTCTCAATGAGCAGTAGTGTCTCCGGGAAAGCGGCTTTTGGGAAAAGGAACAAATGTGTCCTAGGACTGTCAGGCCCCTGGTTTTATAACATAATTCAGAGCATCAAAAAAATCAACCCATGTGTTTATAAAACTTTTAAGTCCCAAAGAATTTCTTCTTCCTTAAAGTTTTAATTATGAGGTAGCTATCATTCAAAGTAAACATCAAATGCAGCCAACCTCTGCTGACAGACATGAGCCCTAATCATAATTCTTGGAAATTGCCACTGGAAAGTCAATTAAAAGTTTAGAAATTAATGTTAATCAGCAGTATTCTGGCTTGAGTTTCCAAATTCCTTCCCCACCAGAAGTTCTATGAAAAGTGCAGAGGTTTCTCAACAGTTCTCGAAAGACACAAGACTGGGAAACTGTTAACTTGGACTCGAACTCCTGCAGAATCTCCTGCGTGCTGGCCTGGCCGTCCACGCGGGCCTGAAAGGCGATGAAGTTCCTCATTTCCACTAGGAGGTCATCGTGCTCCGCGCTGGAGGGCGGCGGGGCGCAAGCCTCGGGAGGGTGCACGTTTTCACTTTCCAGCCGCTCTGGCAAAATCAGGTGGTTTCTGGCTCTCATTTTAGCCAACAGTGAGGACGAAGCGAGGGCCCCGGATGAGGACTCTACAGCTTCCACGTTTCCACTAAAATGCTCAGAAATGTGATCTTTTCCATCCTTTTTCACGATGCTGTCCTGCAGAAGCAAGAGCACTGCATTGATAAGTTTAATGTCTAAATTATGGTCCACTAATCTCCCCAAAGCTCTGAGGGGCTATACAGTAACATGGGTGCCCGGGCCAGGGTGTCAAGTTCGTGGGGACAGAATGAAACACCAGATACCACAAAGGGAAAGGAGAGTCAGCCATCTAAATCCACCCATATTAAAAACCAACAACAAAAAGACACCCAAAACTACACTATTCACTTGGTGGTCACTCTGCGTGATGAGGATGGAGGAAGAGCAGAGGGGCTGGGGAGCAGGCGCCAGGAAACTGCCTCTAGGAAGCTTGAGTTCTGTGGGCTTCTCCTGCTCTTCCTTCCAAATTTATCCTGGTCTAGGTTGGCACTGTGGGCTAAGGAACAATATTGAGCTGTACTTCTTTTTCTTCACTTTTATATATTTTATTCTTTACTACTTTATACCTCATATGTGTTTCCTTAAAAACAACAAAGTTTCTCTAGTCATATTCATCTAAAATAGGAGTCTGAACCTGGCAGTTCCACAGGTTATCAGTAGCAGAGCCCTTAACCAGAAAAGACCAGAGAGAGCACTGAGAGACCGAGGCCCGGCTGCTCTCGAGGAGCATGCGGACGTTTGTTACAGGACAGGAGAGACCGTGCAGAGCGCCGGCAGCTGGTGAATGACAAGCATCTCAGGCCTTTGCTCTAGGGCAGGGGTCTTTGGAACCACTGAACCTGGCACTGCTGCGTGGGCCATGCCTTCCACCTGTCACCTGTCCCTGTATGAGCACCCTCCCCCCACACACAAAATAGAGAATTTGCTCCAGATCGTGGGTTAGAGACTTTTCTGTTAGGAAGTTAGCTGGCCTTTTAGATTCGAATAAAGTGGTTCATAAATCAGAGCAGGCAGCACAAATAGCAGGTGGCGTTAGCCAGAGACTTTTTTCATATCTGAACCGGGTTACATTTTCCTGGGAATCCAATCAAGTCTCCCAGGTGAAAGCGGACAGGCTATCACATTACCTGGCGTTTCTGCTTGGGGGACGCCGAAGAAGGATGCTGCACAGAGAAGCTGGAGTTTCTTTTCTGACCAAATCTACTCCTAAATAAGGAAAAGAATCAGACAAAAGGGCTGTTTTGGTGACTAAGAGATGAAAATGCCTTTTCAACAACTAAACTCTCCCTGGAAAACTTTTGTTCTGCGTAATTCTTCTTTCACAGCCATGGCCTGCCCTTCCTCGGCTTTGCTCCCCGGGGAAGAATGTTGCATCTCGAGCAAGAACCACTCCATGTCTGTGTTCAGCACACGGGGGCCACTGCCTCCCCCCGGAGGAAAACCCTTCCCGGCGAGTGCACTGAGCAGCACAGCCTCGCCCACCGAGGGAGCTGGCGGGATGTCTTATGAAGGCTTAACTGTGATTCTGCACCTCTTCCTGGCTTTAACAGAACAGCTCTCCTTCCCCCTGAAAGCTTGTCTTTGGAAAGCAGGGACCCAAGCGAAGAAGAAGGTAAGGTTACAAATGTGTTTTGCTGAGTCCCACAAGCTGGCTGCCTGTCCCTCCCTGAGGTTTCCCCTGCAGAAGAGCAGGGGGAGCGCCCACGCCTGCCCTGACTGTGCCCAGCGGGACGGCCTGGCCTTCTCGCAGCACGGCAGGCAGGGCAGCATTTCTTACTTTGTTCCCGCTGGTGCACCAGAAACCCCCCTGTGGCCGGTCCAGGTGGGAACACCAGACGCCACTCCCAGACATCTCTGCCGAGAGAGCCTCAGTGCCTTCAGGGCGTCCTGGGCCACTCGGTTGGCCTCTGCCTCGACCAGCACATAATCGGGGCTGGCTCCATCCATGATGGCATCGTGCTTCATGACACTGTGCACGCCAACTAGCAAAAACACAGGAAACAGGAAACATGTTATTTCAGGTTGGAAACAATCGCAGTTTTTCTTCCGTACAGTCTAGCATGTCATAGGTAGAGGAAAATGATGACTATTTTTATTTACCGAGACCCAGCCACTTACATGCTGTGGCTACTTACCTTCACCACACGGTCTGAGGTAGAGACTATTACTGTCCCTGTTTTACACAATGGAAGCATGATGCTTCGATCATAACTTCAACATCACCTCTTCCCCCCTATCTGGGAATTTTAAAATCTTCTATGGTATGGCATGTGAATTATATCTCAATAAAGCTATCTTTCTGAATCAATCAAGAGAAAAAAATTCTTTACTGAAGGGAAAAATATAAACCAGAATTATAGAATTTCTAAATGTAATGACCATGAAAATATTACATATTAGACTAATTTAATGCAGTTATTAATGGAAAATTCATAGCCTTAAATACTTGTATCAGTAAAAATAAACAAATATAAGAACTACATTTCCAAGTCAAATGGTTTTATAAAAACACAAAAAATTCACCAAAACACAAAAACAAAAGCATGAGGAAGAAAGTAATGAAGATAAAAGCAAAAATTAGGAAGTAGAGAACAATCATGGATCTAGTTAATAAATCACAATCTTGGTTTACTAAAAAAAAAAAAAAATTCACAAACTAGACAAACCACTAGCTTAACTTGATCAAGAAAAAAATGGTGCGTGTCAGAAGGACATAGAATATTAGAAATGACAAGGGGGAAATTATCTTGAAAAAGAAGTAAATTAAAAAAAAAACATTTCAAGAGTATTTTCTGTCTCTATGCAAATGAACCTGAAAACGTGACAAAACAGATAATTTGCTAGGAAAACAGACCAGTAACTGCAGAAAAGGCAGAGTTAACCAGTTACAGGAAAGCATCGGGCCCAGACGGTTTCTCTCTGAAATGCCATCCCAAGCTGCCTCCTTGAACAGAGAACCATCCCAGTGACCTGTTGAGGCCTGAACAGGACCAACCCCCGGATGAGGAAGCTGGGCAGGACTGCCGTCCCGGGCCCTGACACATTGCTGAGACTCCTTCCTAGCTGTTCTCCCTTGAGGTTAGCCACCAGCTTTCCTGCTTCCGGAGTGCCTGCCTCTGGCCATACCCCTGCCCTGCCCCCCTCCCCTGCTGTTACTGCAATCTCCTGTGGTTGGAAAATCAGATAAATATAGCATGTAGGGAA